GAGGCCTCGCTGCTCCGCTGATCACGGGGCCGGGAGGCCTCTTGGCTCCGCTGATAACCGGACCCGGGATGTCTCTCAGCTCTGCTGATCCCGTGGTCCTGAGGCCTCTCGGCTCCGCTGATCACGGGGTCTTGAGGCCTCTCGGCTCCACTGATAACGGGGTCTTGAGGCCTCTGGGCTCCTCTGATCCCGGGCCAGGAGGCCTGTCTGCTCCACTGTTCCCGAGCCCCCCCGCAGCTGCAGACGGGGGGAACCTTGGCTTCTTCATCGCTGGGGTAACCAAGCCTCCTGTTCTCAGCTGCCTGGCTGCCTGCCGTCATCTTGGCTGACAGTTAATATGCATATCGCCCTGATTAGCCAATGGGAAGGGTAGCGGTAGTACGCCAATTACCATGTTTCTGTTTTATTAGATTAGATAAGAATATGGAGGACTATGGGTTCTACAATGATTAGAAATTTGCTACTGTGGAGGTCAGTTATTGAATATAGTTCGCCAGATTGAAGGAAAAAGGCTGAATAAATAATACACTTGTGAATTGGTTGGGCTTTTAGTAATTTAGCTTCAATTACAATAATATTGTGGTAGACATTCATATTAAAATATCCAGGATTAATTAAAATAACGTCAGCCTTCAAAATAATGGTGATTCATTAACATGTGTTAGTAAGTAATTGTTACACTTTTACAAAACCTCACATATCAGAAAAAAATACCTTAGGCAGCTTGTTTCTATGGTTCTGGAACAATGGACACATAGGATACTCTAGAGCAGAGTTTCTCACCAGAGGCATAAAGAGTCATCTGAAGCTTTTCAAAAAAATACTTATGTCTGGAAGTTACACCTATAGATTTGAGAAGCATTCTGAGTCCACATCTACATATAACCACAGTAATAAAATTTTCTTTCACAAGCAAAGAGGAAGCTCAGTGGTTCCAGAAAAAGGAAGGATGAACAAGCTCTTCTCTGCTCACCTTTCTGGACTGGGCCTCTTTCCATTTCCATGCACTTCCATGAGCAGCTCAGAAGAGTCAGCAGGTGAAGCAATACTTGTGTTGAGCAAAAGGTGTTCGTGCTGAGCCAGGTACTGGGATGGGGTCTGCTTGGCAGCCCGAGCACAGTGCAGCAGTTCTCGCTGCAGCAGGGGCAGGTTGGCCTTGAAAAAAAGAGGCAGGGATGGGAAGGTAGTTTTCCCTGTGTTGGGCCCCTCACAATAGGGCCCAGCACCTCTAAAGGCTCTCAAACAAGATGACACAAGACCAAAGCCTTTCTCTCCTTGTCAGTCTGAAGAGTACTGGGAATAACTGGAATTAAGCCTTAGACTAGGCTCTGCGGATACACAGGTAACCTAGGGGCAGAACTGATTTCTCAGTGTGGTACCCTCATTGGGCACATTTCCTTATTTTGTAAAAGGACAATAATCATGTACTGATTATTTTTCCTTCCCCTCAAACTGAGGAAACCTTTAGTGTGGATAATTCATATAAAAAAACTCTATACTCTTTCAATTGAACTCTAATTCCTTCACATATAAAGGTACTTTTCTCATATTCCTTCTTTTAAAAAAATTACATCCCCCCCTCCCCCCAAATTTAGAAACAATTCAACGCCCTGGCTCGTGTGGCTCAGTTGGCTGGGCATTGTCCTGTTTCACCAAAGGGTTACTGGTTCAACTCCTTGTCAGGACACCTGCCCAGATTGTGGGCTTGATCCCTGGTGGGGGCATACACATTAATGTTTCTCATTCTCTCTCTAAAAATCAATAAAAAATCTTTTTAAAAAATTTCAGATCACGCCTATAACATAAGTCTTTATTCCAGAGGAAAAAGATGAACAAGTGAAAAGAGAGTTTTAATCATCCCTTTACCAAGGGTTAATTTAGCAGACACCATAATTTGTGACTGTTTAAAGCATAAATAAATTGACAAAAACCCAAATGCTAGCCAAAAAGCTTCCATAACAACCTACCTCATGCTGTTTTCCAAAATAACACAGTTAAGAATAGGGAATTTGATGATATAAGGCACTTTAAAAGTCTTTTCTATAACCTCAATCTTGTAGCAACTGTAAAAACTTAATGAAAAAATACCATGCCAGATCTTTACATCTGTGACATGTATGTACCCTTTGATGAATTTTTTTCCCTTTGATGAATTGAAAAGAAAGAAAGCTAATTCTTCCCTAATAACACAAATTGCACAAATCCTTCATGATTCCAGCGTCTTGGGGGAAATAATTGTCTACTGGCTCTGACATACAGAAAACAGCAAGACAGAACTAGCACAGCTGTTTAAGGGCTGAACAAGGCACCACAGACTGCTCTGAGGGGCTGAGTGTTCAATGCTGTCAGAACACAAGCTGCTCGCCAGACACCCCTGCATTTCCCTCCATGTCTCCTAGGTTCCCATTACAAGGTTTAAAAAAACTGGTATCAGTACTTTAGTAGGATGAGCCATATTCTTTTTTTAAAAGTTGTTGCCTCTCACGTGTGTCCCGATCAGAGTATGTGCCCTGACTGGGAATCGAACTGGCCACCTTTTTGGTGTATGGGTCAATGCTCCAACCAATTGAACCACACCAGCCAGGACAGATGACCCACCTTCTTGATGTCATTACATTTTTGTATGAAATGAAGGTAAAGCAAAAGAAGATAAGAGGAACATATTTACTAGCCAGATATTTAGGCTTTGTGAGTTAAGGGGCATAATTGAGGATATTAGGTGGATATGCATATACAAGATAGGAAAACAAGTTTCCAAATATTATCTTGACAAAAGTCAAAATATAAAAACAATTGAGTACAGTTTTTTGGTAATATCAGGCTAATGAAAAGAATGGAATTTGGAAAGGGAGTGGATTAAGGAAAACAACTTAATTGGGATTCAAAGATAGTGTTCCCTATTACCAATCAATTACAAATGTTCATTTGTAAAACCAATTCTTTTAAAATTATTAATAATTTATTTTAATATTTATTGTTGAAAGTATTACATATGTCCCCCTTTATCCCCTATTGGCCCCCTCTAGCCCTCCCCTACCCCCATCCCCACCCCCACCCCCACCACCTTATTGTCTGTGTCCATGGATTATGCATACATGCACACAATATCTCTTTAAGGCTGTATAAAACCATGTGGTGGGCTAGATTTGGGTTACAGGTATTTAAACTATGCCTGATCTAGAGCACACTGATATCTGACTATAGTCTTTCACTGCCTTTAAGCTATCCATAACTCTGCAAATTATAGAGAACTGATAGCAATGCAAAATAATTATTGTCTGTGGACTTGCATAAAATTATGTCCAGTAGAGAGATTCAATTAACTTTTCTTGCCCACTGTAGATGAAGTCAATTATACCGCTGTTTGCACAGTCATATCAGTAATACTGATTTTAAATGTATCTATTCTTTGGGTTCTCCCCTGAACTGGTTCTAACACCTTACTGATTCATTAATAATGAATTAAATAAAATCTTTGACATGGATTCATTTTTTCTCTATGAGTCATAATGATGCGATATCTGTTTTTAAAAATAATTATTTAATAGGAAGAAATAATAACTTTACAGTGGGAAAGCATGACATAGTCTTTACCAAGTAACCAAAGTCAACATCACCAATTATGAGACCAATTAATACCTATGTCTCCTGACAGAAGTTACATCTTAGCTGCTATTTACTGCCTAAATGCATAACATGATTCTCATCATGAGGAAGTGTCAGAAAGATCCACATTGAGGTACATCTATAAATTAGCCATCTCGTACTCTTTAACAATGTCAAGATCATAAAAGACTGAGAAGTTATTCTAGATTAAGTAGACTGAAGGGTCTTGGGTTTGAGTCCCTGTCAAGGGCACATACGTGGGGTGCATGCAGGAGGCAACAGATCGATGTGTCTCTCTCATGTTGATGTTTCTCTCTCTCTACCCCCTTCCTCTCTCTCTAAAAAATCAATGGAAAATATGTCCTCAGGTGAGAATTAACAAGAAAGAAGGAAGATATGACAAATAAATGCAAGATGTGATCCAAAAACTAAAAAAAAGGTTTTCTTTTGCTGTAAATATTATTAGTGGAATATTTGATGAAACATGATAAGGTCTATAGTAATAGTGTTTTATCAATGTTAATTTCTTTTTTGTTTTTTTAAATATATTTTATTGATTTTTTACAGAGACGAAGGGAGAGAGATAGGGAGAGTTAGAAACATCGATGAGAGAGAAACATCGATCAGCTGCCTCCTGCACACCCCCCACTGGGGATGTGCCCACAACCCAGGTACATGCCCTTGACCGGAATCGAACCTGGGACCCTTCAGTCCGCAGGCCGACGCTCCATCCACTGAGCCAAACCGGTTTCGGCAATGTTAATTTCTTAATTTGATAATTATACTAAAGCGATTCAATGTATCATGTCTGTAGCTCATTCTCAAACATTTCTGAGGAAAAAAATAAATCTAAAGACAAAGAGAATAATAATCAAAATTATAAAATATTAACACCTGGGAAGTCTGAGTGAAGGGTACGGAAAAAATTTTCTTGTACCATTTTGTAACTTTTCTGTGAGCATGAAATTATTTCAAAATAAAGATTTTTTTAAAAGGGCATATTACATATAAATCTCAAAAGCTATGTTTCATGGAACAGTAATTCCAGAGGAATTGAGCTATACAAAACTGGGGATACAATGCTTTCCCACATGCTCTCCTGTCCTTAGGGCAGCGATTTTCAACCAGTGTGCTGCAGGAATATTTAAAACATGCAGTACACCTGACTATTTAGTCAGGGGCACTGATCTCTGTCCCTTAGATTGTCAAATAAAAAAATGACAATAGCCAATTGTGGGGAGCCGCTATAGGGTAAAACCTCGGACTGACCTGTTGGCAAAGTCACAAACAAGTCCCAGCTTAGAGGGCATAGTCCTCTTAAGCATAATTAGGCTTGACCTTATGACACTCCCTCGCTGACTCCGTCCACACCTTTGGGAACCCCTGGACACCTGGGGCTGGACCCCGGCAGCCAATATAACAATAGCTGTCTGTTGTGAATGAACCAAAATTATACCTATTTTCTTGGTTAGATCATCAAAAATTATATTTGTGGTGTGCTGCAGAATTTTAGTAATTAGTTTGTGTGTGTCATGAAATGAAAATTACTGCCTTAGGGTTAAGAGTCTGAGCTGCAAGGGCCTCTCTTTTGTCTGATACCCTCCTCACAGATAACATATTCTTCACACTCTGGCCACAACCCAAAGATTTAGTGTCTAGTTACTTCTGCTAAGACCCCAGCCTCCATACCATCTTTATACCTCTGGTCCATTCACAGGAGCTCCTGTGTGTTATTAGCAGAATCTGCATACAGACCACAACTCAAGGCTTTTGTAATTCTCATCAAGTGTAAGACTCACCTGCAGACTGCACTCACATTTTTCTAGCAGCCCGCAATAAAGATATGAAAATGTGCAAATTGCCCAAATTTAGATCACAGAACAGGGATCAGTAGCAGATCTTGAGGAAATGTTAAGATAAATAGTTACATTCAGTAATTATCTCATAAAAATTACCTTGAGGAATGGAATCACAAAAGGACGAAGAGGGAAGTTTGTAGCTTCTTGGAGCTTGCAATGGAATTCTTCAATTGTTACTGTTGAGTTCTGAAAAGAGAAATAAATAACCTTGTTCAACCTCTAAAAGAAGACACTGTCCTCATATAAATCCTTTTAAAATCACAAAGTATAATTTTAAGAGTACTATTGTGATCTCAGATCCTTCTCAAAGATTAACCAAATTATTTCCTTTATAAAAGAAGTTCAGCCTCCTTGACTGTCCTTTCTTTACTACCCCAAATCTAAATTCCCCTCTAAGGTCAGCAGCCTGGGTTACACAATAGGCACTCAGGTCCTCGGTACTCATGGCAAGTCACCTCAGGTACAGAAACCAAACTTACTATGTTTCCAGTTAAACAGATTCTGATCAGCCTACGATGTCAACTCAAAAGACTCAACCGAGTGCCTCATTCCTTCAGAAGTTGGTTTCTTCATAGGTTCTGCCTATCTCCTAGCATTAGTTCCCCAAATCTTCTAAATTCAAAGTTTTTTATTTTAATTAAATCTTTATTGTTCAGATTACTACAGTTGTTCCTCTTTTTTCCCCCTATAGCTTCCCTCCACCTGGTTCCCACCCCACCCCCTGCCCTTACCTGCCCCCCACTGTCCTCCTCCATAGGTGTATGATTTTTGCCCCCTCTCTTTCTGCACCCCAACACCCCCT